AGCACAAAACGTTCAGTTGTGCATTCATTCTTACTATCCCACTGAATTACCTGCCGAATTTATATTGCAAGGTATGGATTTTGGCATCTTACAAAGTAGCAGGAGTGTGCAGGGGAAGCAGGCAATGGCACTGGCAGCTGCCCAAAGCTGGGGACCCTCACAGCAGCACTGGATTTCCCCAGGGTGTCACTCAGAGTCGACATATTTCATCCCATCTTCAATATTATGCTCCACTGATACTTCTCAGACTCAGCACACTAGAACATTATAAAACATTATAAACCCCCCCTGATTCCAGTGAAGTCCTATTCTATAGTCTGTTTGATACCATATCCTCCCTTTAAAAGGCTGGTATCTTTCACTTGCCCCCCACCCCCCTGAGGTTCTTGAATTTGCATTTTTCTCTGAACAAAGGCTCTCCGAAAGCAGGAGGCTCCCTGGCTGCTCACTGCCACCAGCACTGCCCCCCCCTGCAACCCTGACAGCCTGAACTGTGCTCTTCTCATTAGCAGCAGTGTGAAAGTTGTTCTCACCCTATAGACTGCCTATTACTGGCTTCAACTGAAGGAAATATACACCAAAAGAATAATTCCCAGGCTGAAATCAGCTCTGTTATTTTCACGCCATTGCTAAGATGTCCACAGCAGTTTTATTAAAGCCATGAGTCTGCCTCTGCCAGAAATTAGAGACATTGCTTGTGAACAAGTAACTGGTGTTTATTCCTCCTCCTGCCTCCTCGTCCTCTGAACTGCACCAGGGAAGGATGCCTTCTGATAAGCAACATGTCAGGCTAATTATCCACAGAGATTTTAAGCTGCATATTTTCTCTCTGGACTAATCTAACCCAGATGTGGGAAAGGCATGGTTTCAATCAATCCTTCTATACATCCCGTGACACTCGGTCACATGTGCATGTGTAGGTATGTGCATCACCCAGTGAAATAACCATGTTGTACACCATTAACAAGCTGGCTGTCACAGGCTGTTCTGTTCACCCTCCTGTTAGAGGATTTTAGTGCTGCCTCCAAACAAACTAATTCTGAAATGAAACAAGGAAATACTCTTCATGATTACAGAGCACTTTTTTCATAGCTACACAAGTTTTCATAATAGATTGACCATGACCTCAAGTATCATAGAATTTAAGGGTTGGAATGGACCTTACAGATCATCTAGTCCCAACCCCCTTCTGTGGGCAGGGATACCTCTTCACTAGATCAGGTTGCTCAAGGTTTCATCCAGCCTGGTTTGGAATGCTGCTGGGTTGGAGCAGCCACCACGTCCCTGGGCAACCTGTTCCAGTGTCTCACCAGGTAGTTTCACTGCAGGTAAAAAGGGAAAATTAAAAGCCATATTCTGTCTCTATATTGTTCAATAAGAACTTGGGAAACAGAGGGAAATCAACCTTCCCTCCAGCATGTGGACAGTCATTTAAAAGGCACACACCATCAGAGCCCACACTAGAAATTTTGGTGCAGTCAGTGCTTTACAGCCATTCAAGGTGGTTTTTTTCCCTGAAGCAAGTGACAGAACCAGGCTCCAGTGAGAGTGGAGCCCTGCACAAACTGCAGGATCACTTACTAACACTGCACTGAACAGCGCAGGATATGAAAGAAACAGCTGTTTCTTGTCCCTGGTGAGCCCCATGATCAGGTGCTGTTCTCACTGCAGCAAGAGGCAGCTTGCTCCCACACTGTACCCCTCCAGCACAGATATTGTCAGTATTGAACTCTGAAGAACACAGCTCGGTGTACATTGGCTCACATGGATTCCCAGCCATGCCAGCTGTTGCTACATGGGAAACCACCTCGATTAACAGCCTTGGCCAGACTAAGATGCTTCTCACCCATCAGCCATACTGTTCAGCCTTCTGAGGGGGTGTCTGCTGCCAAGCCCTAGCTCTCACAGAGCTGAACACATCTCACCAAGCTCCCCTTTACCCTTTCACCTGCTCCCTCAGCCAAGGGAAGAGAGACATAGACAATCCTCCTGGCTGCTGTGGTGCAGAGGGAAGCAAACCTGCTCTGCCTTGGGGGAGCCACCACAGACCATATCTTCACTGAAGATGCAAATCTACAGCAATTAAGGGCACCAAAACCAGTTGCCTCACTTTCTGGTCATCAGCATGTGGATCACATGAAGAATGGGCACAGGTTTCAGCCTAGTAAATAAAGCATTAAGCATGTGAAGGTGATCAGAAAGAAACCGGTTCTCATCAATTAATGAAGCAGATCTATTTCTTTCCTTTGCTCCATCCCCACAAAGCCTACTTTATCCTTTGACCGTAGCTATGGGGGCTGAAAGATGAACTAGGAGTATCTTACTTTAAGGGAGGAATGAAGTAGATGCTGCATGAGAAGCAGGATCTTTACAAACAATTAAATTGAGTAAAACACTACCCGTTAGCAGACACTGACCTGCTTTGAGTGCAGGACGTGGGAACACAAGGCAAAGCTCAATACAACTTAGGAGAGATTAAAAAAGCACCATATATTCACATCATAGTCTCTAATTCTAAATTGCATGGGAAGATAGAGGAGTCTGAAACTAGCCAAGGACGTAAAAGAACAAACTTTGCTTTCTTCCAAAAGCACTAAGAATGGGGACAGGAGGACAGTAGTAAACATCATTACTCAGAAGTTTGGTTTCCTTGGCTTTTTGTGCAGTGAATTTTCCTTCTCACATTAACTGCTGTTCACTGATTTCTTACAAAAAAAGTCCAAAGCCCATCATTAAATAGGACTGACAATGGGCTTCACAGGGCTTGCTGCTTCAGTGATGCTGCTCACCTTGCCATACCTACTGTGACAACCTCTACTGTGACACCACCTGTGTGCTGGTAGCATGGCTAGAAAACATGAGAACCAAGCAACAGCATGGATGAGAATGGAAACACAAAGATACAATGTCCAAAATACATCACAGTGACGTTTTCAAATGGGAACAGCTTTGTTGTTGTTTAAATAATTATTCTAATTCAGCTTCCTCTCTGAAAGCCCTTCTGCAGCTCTAAGCTGGCCTATGCAGCACCCTGAGCAAATACTGAACTGGCTGGAGGATTAATAGTCCACTGTCAGCTCTCCAAGCCAATCTTTCCCCTAAATTACCCCTTTCACAGACAATATTTCCCCTAAATTACCCCTTTAATTAAAAATAAAAATCCAAGTGTTGCAGGAAACAGTTCTATGTTTCAACTTGTTTGGTATCCAGCCCAATGGAAAACTTGTCCCAAAAACCTCTGGTTATTAACTGAAATCTCAAAACAGCATCATTATATATATTCTCAAATATTTCTGGGCTTTCTTACCGTCATATTTCCAAACTACCTAGCAATTCAACACTATTTTGTTATTGAAAGCAGCCTTAATGCACCAAAGACAGTACTTGACAGCCAGAACACAACAGTCATTTGCACTTTGAAATTCCCCTCTATAAACTACAACAAGTAGGACTGTTCATTGATTCACCCCATTTTAATTCTTTTGAGCATGAGAGAATAGGAAAACAGAGGATAATCACAGAATCATAGAATGAACTGGGTTAGAAAAGACCTCCAAGATCATCAAATCCAGCCCCAAGATGGTTACTAGACCATGGCACCAAGTGCCACATCCAGTCTCATCTTGAAAACCTCTGGGGACGGTGACTCCACCACCTCTCTGGGCAGCACATTCCAATGCCTGATTACTCTCTTTGTAAAACATTTCTTCTTAATATCCAACCTAAACCTCCCCTGGCAGAGCTTGAGTCTGTGCCCTCTTGTCCTCCTGGGAGAAGGGACCAACCCCCACCAGACTACAACCTCCTGTCAGGGAGTTGCAGAGGGTGATAAGGTCTCCCCTGAGCCTCCTCTTCTCCAGGCTAAACAACCCCAGCTCCCTCAGCCTCTCCTCATGGCACTTGTGCTCCAGTCCCTTCACCAGCCTCGTTGCTCTTCTCTGGACCTTCTCCAGCACCTCAATATCCTTCCTGAGCTGAGGAGCCCAGAACTGCACACAGTATTCAAGGTGTGGCCTCACCAGTGCTGAGCCCAGGGGCAGAATCACCTCCCTGGTCCTGCTGACCACACTGTTCCTGATCCAGGCCAGGATGCCATTGGCCTTCTTGGCCACCTGAGCACACTGCTGGCTCATGTTCAGCTTCCTGGCTCTCCCAACTCCCAGGTCCCTTTCTGCCTGGTGCTCTCCAGCCACTCTGTCCCCAGCCTGGAGCACTGCATGGGATTGGTATGGCCAAAGTGCAGGACCAGCACTTGGCCTTGTTAAACCTCATCCCATAATTCCAAATATGTTGGCACTATCTGCAAAGAATTGTATTTAAGCACAAAAATGAAGTTTGGCTTTTTATATTTTCAGAGTAATAGAAAAAATACGATGTTGGTTCAGAAGTCAGGTAACCTCTGTGTTGAGAACTACAATTCTTTTATTGGACATATGTTACTGAGCATTGAACACTTGTTTTTGTAGGCACAGATTTAAGAATAACACCACAAAATCCAACGGATAAAGTGCAGACCTGTACTGAGAAGCAGGCCTGGTAAATCCTTCTACTCCTAAAACTCAGCTGAGAAAAGAAAGAAAAGGGGAGGAAACTGCCATTATAAGAGAAGTATATTATAAATTATGGGAACAGAACTAGACAAACCTTCCTGCAAGGTCCAGAGCTCTGGAAAACCAGGTCACCTGTGTACACATACATACACACGCTGTGTCTGTGGCAGGAAATATTTTAAGTTAGACTTTGGCTTACACAAGTGGTTTATTTATAATAAAACTTAACAAAGCTGTACTGATTAAAACAGTTCTCTTAACATCATTTCTTTACATATTTCAGAGTAAAAAATGATGCACTTCAAACCAGGTAACAATCTACCCCCAACACAGTAAGTTTCAGCAAACAGTGACCAAGAAAGAGTGAACGGGGGAAGCCAGTGTGAGTCACCATTTAAAGTGATGGTCTTGGCCAGATCTCATTTCTGCTTGCACCAGAATTTTCTCCCTAAGAAGATTCAGGAGATAAAATGGTAAATTGGATATGTCCTTGTCTTTCTCCATCTCAAAAGGGCAGCTTTCTACAGCTCTTAGCAACAGAAAAAAAATATATATTTCCAGAGCTTGCACACATCCAAAAAAAACCCCAAACCAAAGGCAGAAAACAAGAGGGAGAATAAAAACTAATATAAGCTAAAACATTATTTTGTAGTAAACAATAGAATATAACGTGCAATAGTGCAATTTCTCCTTTGCTGCTCCAACAATGAAGTCTTGGTAGATAGTCCCTTGCATGTCACCGTGTGGCATCCCACATCTAACTGCGTGCTTGCCGGGCACTGCTGGCTTTGCCAGGCCTCGCAGCCGAGTCGCTGTGTCCAGGCTCTCCCTTCCCCTTGCCCAGGTGGCGCAGTTTCTGATCCCAGCGCTGCAGGGCGAAAGGCACAGATATTACAAGAGAGATTACACAAGAAGAAACAAGTCCTATGTAAAACAAATGCATGTGTTCACACATAGCTGCAAAAGGAGAAGAGCCATCGCTGCTGTTTTCACTGCATCACCCTGTGCTGGGATCAGGGGTGGAGTAAGAGGTCATTGGGAAAAGTCACTGCAAATAGGGAAACAACATCCTGCCTTTCTTGTAGCTTCTGTGAGTGAAGGGGCTGATACAAGGCACAAGGTTTTCAGCACAAAGGGGACTCACCTTCAACATAGTAACATTTAAGTAAAGCTAGTAGTGCACTCTTGAAGGGAAGCAAGACAAAAAAAAGTCAAGTGATTTTTGTTAACTTTTAAATACTATTATCATTTTTATATTTTTATTTTTGCCGGCAAGAGCAACCATAGTAAAAATATTTTAAAATATTTATTTTATAAAATGTTTTTATTAAATACATTTGGTACAACTGATGGTACTCTTAGAAAAGAAGATGATGATGAGAGGTGATGTGGCATGGTCCTCAGCAGCCCCAGGCTGGACGTGAGGGCAGAGGCAGCAGATCACAGACCACAAGGAAATAAGTGAGAAAATAAGTGAGTTCCAGAACCATAACAAACGCCAACAAAAGAAGCTACCACCCAAGAACTGGAACTGAGCAGAAGTCAGCTCACAGCAGTAATGTGGTATTTGCTCTGCTGCACTGTATTTCATAGGGTTCTGCCAAATCAAACAGCAGCTTGGAATAAGATCCCCATATCTTTTCACTCCTGCAATCTCTGTGCATGTGACAAATGTGCACAGAAAATCTTGCATTTGTCATCACAACAGTATTTTCCTGTCAGTCACCATTACACTGTTGGGGGAAGTGCTGAGTGGAAGAGAAGACTCTCACAGGCACAACCATAACAGCAAATCGACGGCTGAGAAACCATGTCAAGATAAGAATATTCTGTGTAACTCCTAACATCAAAACCACTGATACTGTGCAGTGCATCAAAACATAAAAAGGCAATCCTTCAAGAATTTGAGAGGCATTAGAAAACATTTAAACTAGAAAACAACAAAATGTATTTTCATATAAAGAGTTGGGGTTGTTCAGCCTGGAGAAGGCTCTGAGAAGACCTAAGAGAACCTTTCAGTACCTAAAGGGGCTACAAGAGAGCTGGAGAGGGACTTCTGACAGGGACATGGAGTGACAGGTTGAGGGGGAATGCTTTAAACTGACAGAGTAGGTTTAGATTAGACACATGGAAGAGATTCTTTTCTGTGAGGGTGGTGAGACACTGGAACAGGTTGCCAGAGAAGCTGTGGATGTCTCATCCCTGGAAGAGTTCAGGCTGCTCCAAGCCCCATCCAACTTGGCCTAGTGGAAGGTGTCCCAGCCCATGGCAGAGTGGTTGGAATGCAAGATGATCGGTCCCTTCCAACCCAAACCACTCTAAGATTTGGTGATACTTTGCTTGCATTTGAGCTCATTGCTTTCAATTCACTATGACATGACTTCCTTGTCAGGTACCTCCGTCAGCTGGGCCAGGAAGGTGAATTTAAAATAGTTGCTAATGCACACAGTTTGGTAAGAGAACTCTATATAAAGAACATTAAATCTGAAAACCATAATCCTGCCTTAGTCTGGAAACTATGTGTGAAGCCCCATTTAGGTGGGTTTTATCAGTATCACAACCCCAGTTAAGCAGGCATGTGTTGGGGAACACACAGCTTTCCCTAGAGAATTAAAACACTCCTTAGGTTTGCTTTTTTTGAGGCAGAGGTTTTGATTGTTGCCACACTGGGATACTTTGGGGCAACTTAATGCATCCCTTTAGTTTATTCAGCATACATTTCTAAGGAATACTACAAATAACACACCCAGTTAGTTGTGTTAATTAACTGGAGGCAGAATATCTCTACTTGCTTCCCTTATTTTGAAAGGATTAGGTTTCATGGCACCTGCAACACTTGACTTTTGGTGAGGTATTTTCTTACCTTTACTTTTTTACCAAGACGATCCTTCCACTTCTCAGCTATGGAGCCTTCCACCAAGAGTAACCTACACAACGAAGACAACCAGTTATTCCATCAACAGGCTGAACAACCCAACACAAATGCAAGACTAAGATCTCTGTGCCTTCAGAGAACCTTGCCCTCTCTGGATACCTTGTACAGACAGTCTCACCAAGTTTTCCTTTCCACATGGCTCTGAAGTTCAGCTTTATGACAGGGGAACAAATAACAACAAATATGCTCCAAGGGCAGTGCAGAAGGTGTTACCTGGAGCGCTCCTCGTCCTCGTAGCCCATAATGATGTACTCTTCATTGGCACTGAGTGGTGGGCACAGGCAGCCAGAGTTCGTGTGAAGGTTTACAGTGTCCTTTGGGATGTTCACCAGGGAAGATTTCAGGATCTCCTTTACTTCCACTACTGCAGTGACATCGTGACATTTAGTCTTCACTTCCTTCACTTTAGCTCGAATGACTGGGAAAAAGTCACAGAGAGTGTTGTTAGCAGCAGTAGATAATGCAGGTCACCCCCAAGCCATTCTTGATATCCTCTGGGATTAGTCTTTTGCACGGTCCATTATCAGAAGCTTAGCTGAACTCCAGCAATGTCCCTACCCCCATCTCTTCCCTTCATTACTTCACTCTCCACCAAGGGGTCCATGTAGCTTTGTGTATCTCTTAATAGTATGGGCAGGAGCAGGAGTTATGTACCAATTGGATTTATGTCTTGTTTAAGATGGGCTTTGACTTTAGCATCCTTCCTTCTTCGCACTTTCCGTGTTAAATATATTTAATCTACTCCTTGTATGCTCTCCTTCTCCCTCAAGCTGCATCCCAAAGAGCTGCTCCCTCCTTGACTACCTGCAGTACAGATGGCTGAACTTAATTTGTCACTCTGAACCTTCCACCAAAAGTGAATGTGCATTAAAACTTCTTGTACCACTACTCCTGCTGGATGACCTTTTTTATTCTCTCTCCAGGGACCCAGCACCAATCTGCTCTGCACTTTATGAACTCCAAACGCTCCTGATCTTGACCTGATGACCTGTCTAATTGTTTCCTCCCTTGCCCTTTCTTTTTACCTTAAGTTGCACAGAAGGAAAGGTTGCCTTTCAAAGGCAAAGCTTTTCACTTTCCTCATAGTGACCAGTGAACTGATACCACATGCAAATGCAAAGCCAACCCAGAGGTCATGCTCTAGAGAATGGCACATTATTCACAGTCTGCAAACAAGAGTCCCTTTCCACTACAAACAGCAGATTCCCTGGATTCCAAATGTCTTCTAACATATGTGAAAAAGGTACAATAGAATATAGAAGAAAGAAAAACATGGACTTACACAATGACCATCAACCAGCACATGCTACAGGCACATTAAATACAGCTGCCAACAAACACTACCTTGTGCATTTAGTATGCACAATTTACACCAAGTGATCCACTTTCTCAAAATGTTTTAAGATTTCAAAACAAAATCTTGCTTTAGTTCGGAGTTATCGCAAATGCATTTTGAAGCCTCTTTAATTTCAGAAGCTTGAGAAGATGGGCAGTAGTGTGCTCAGACACTCTGCCATGTGCAGGTACCCACTAGAGTACAGTCACTCTAATTATTTTCCAAACAAATCCATCAAAACAACATAAAACTGACCTAAAAATAGCTATGATGTTTAAATACAGTTACAATTTTTTAACTTTTAACAGCTTTTCAAAAAAAACTTGTCTGACAATAATTTTATAAATGCATAATTTGACTAGGTATTATGCAATCACTACCATTAAAATAAAGTTCACTGACCCTAAGGCTCTTCACATCACTAACGGGAAAAAGGATTATCCCAATCATTCAATTTCTGTGATATGTACTCACTGGTTTTATCAGCCTAATCTGCTTGAAACAAACTGTATGAAGAAAAGTAGCAGCCTGGACCTGTGATCTGCCTGAAGACCAGGACAGTCTGGACAAAGGAAGACATAATATGGACACGTGCACTTTTACAGGTGTTACTGACAGTGTGACACAGCTGGCAAGGTGCTCATCACTGGCTTTCATGTGCGAGAAGGAAAGACACTAGCTCACCTGTTAGATCCCACAGTGAGTTAGTGGGCATGAAATCTAGTAAAAACATCCTTTCCTGCAAAAGCTGAACATATCAGAGCTGGAAATCACAGAGGCAGTTCAGGCACAGCAGCTCACAACGTCATTTTCACCACATCACTTTTCACACGACTGATGTGTATGAACCCAAATGCCTGTGCTGACACTGAAATAACCCAACAAAGACACTCTTGTACTAACACATTAAGCCAATCCCCTCTGTCCTTCTAATTTGGCAATGTTTCAGGCCACATCTTCCTCCTGTAGTAAGTACCATTGGATTAACCATCAGTAAGTGGGAACTCAGGTTTTTTTGATGAACATTTTCCCCTTACTGCAGCCTTAAAGCTGTTGGGAGCTGGCCATGCAGCTGTTCTCACCGTAGTTGTAGTTGTTGCGTAGATAGGTCTTCTGGGTAGCTTTTACAGGCTTGCACTTGCAGCGGTCTACAGAAACAGAAAGCTTTGTTTAGAAAGAAAAGAGCATGTGTTCAGTGACCATCTTCCCAAAACCTCAAGCTCACACCTAACAAAAAATATCACTGAATTGACTTGCTTATTAAAAATACTAAAACCCACAGGGCACTCCTGGTCTGTTCTCTCCGGAGATGTTGTGGAACTGTCCATTAAAGGTTTTGAGGAGAAAGCCTGGCATGCTGAAATCTAGAAAAACCCAAAAACTGAACCCAAACTACAATGCAACAAAGACACACGGACCTGGAGTCTGAACTGACAAAATAATTCATTTTAAGCCAATTCAAGATTCAGTCTTGGTATCTCCTGTGCTCACAGGTGCTGCAATTCCACATCCTTGCAATGCTGCTCTCTCTTCTGTACCAGACTTAGGAAATGCTCTCCTTTCTGCACCTTTTATCACATAGACCATAACAGAGGCATGAAAGAAAATACTGTGACGGGGCACGATTTAACATTTCATTGAAGACTATGTATCTCTGGTTGGTTTAGCAAATTGGGATATTCAGGCTAGCAGGCACTTATAGAATCATAGTTTGGGCTGGAAGGGACCTTTAAAGGTCACCTAATCTGACCCCCCTGGAACAAGCGGGGAACATCTTCAACTAGATCAGGTTGCTCAGAGGCCTGTGCAATTCACCATAAGGAAATGTGTAAGCTTCACACAGTTCTATTATGACCCAGAACCCCAGGTATAATTAAACTGGTGAAATTCTTAGCCCTCGTGGCTGGACGGATGGCATTCAAAAGACAAAACAAGTGAGCACTGTCACAGCAGCATTTCCAGTGGTGCAGCTGCCAGACAGCTGGGAACTATAACTGAGGTAAAAACATTTTCATTAGTGCCTGGGGAGTGCTAAGGCTGAAGCTCCAGACCCACACATTCATTAACACCGCTGATATTTCATGGCTGGTTGTTCTAATACAAATATTGACTTATTTCACACTAGTGTCTAAGTGGGGTTTGGTGGAGTGATTTCAAACAGCAGGTCCCAGTATTGCACACACATGGTCATCTATTCTGACATTTGACTTAGCATTTAAGTGGAAGTAGGGTTAATGCAGCTTATTTTTATACACCATCATTCTAAATAACAATGCATACAAGCTAGTCATTTAAATCCAGCATGAAGAGTCTGAAAAATAACTTTTATTTGCTACATAAGATTCCTACATATTAAAAAAAAAAAAGTAGAGGGAATCATATGGTTCTTGACTTCTCAAATCATTATTTTCTATTGAAAGAATTTTTACAGTTGAAAAGGCAAAAAAAAAATACAGGAAAGAGGAAAACATTCCAAAAGAAGACTATATTGTTTCCTTGAATTTCAAACACATCCTCAGGAATCTATATATAGAGTCCTACAGACTTTAGCTTTTGTATGAGGCTGTGTTAAAATAACAAAGGCAGAGAAGGGAAGTGATTTTTGGCTTCCCTTCTGCCTCAGGGAGCTCATGCATACTGTAGACCCAATTATGGCTCGTTTTATAAACTGCCCTGAAACAGGGCATAAAAGATGTGCTCCCATGACCCACACTCACAAGGGCATGTCAGAGCTCAAGTCCAACAAGTCATACACTTTAACGTTCTCCTGCTCTACAGCACAAGCAGAATAAAATAGACTGAATTGCAAGACAAGAATACACAGCCTCACATTTCCCTCAGTTTTAAGACAGTATTGGATGACTTTATTAATTTGGGAACATATTTTATTTGTCTTGTCCTAGAAACAAATCACAGACCTGCTCATGTTCTTACTGAATAATACCTTCTGCTCGTCCTAGTGCTTTTTAAATTAACATTTCAAAGAGCTTAACCAAATGCTGCATTATTCCTAATTACTATTGAGTGATACAGAAACTAACACAAAAGTCATTTGCCAAGGTCAGTTATAAAGTCAGTGGCAGAGCCACATCCAACTCCTCTCTCCCAATTCCTGCTACAGTGACTTTCAACTTGAGTAGTAGAGAACATGTAGTTGATTGATGGACACTTCTGGCAACACTGAGCTTTCCCCAGGGAGTGGTAACATCCACATAAGGTGGCTATAAAAATGTACATCCTCTGTTGCTGAGGGGAAGTCCTATCTGACCTGATAAGCTCCTCTGAAACTGCCAGAATTACCAGAACTCTGGGGCCACAACAGTGTTATATCTGTGCTGGTTTGGGCAGAAGGAGAGTTAACTTCCTTCGCAGTGGCTAGTATGGGGCTGTG